AGTTAGATTTTAAATTCTGGTATTTTGCTGCTGATCTTGATAATGAGGATTGGAAAGTAAAAATAAAATATCCTGCTTACGTCAAGCCGCCATATTTTGCTGGTGGTTACGGACAATTTGTGGTAAGAAACGAGAAGGAGATGATTCAAGCTATTTCTAAAATTAAAAAATCTTCACATCCAGTCCAGGATATGTTCAAATCCATGTTTCTAAAATATTTGGACATTGAGAAATTCCCTCTTTGTATAAAAAACATTGTGCTAGTCGAAGAATTTGTTGAAGATAGCAAAATGATGGCGACTGAAGGATATGTAGACCAAGATGGCGCCTTCCATTTATGGGGTCATTTTGACGGTTTGAGTTTTTCTAAACCAGTTCCTTGTGATTTTCTGCGTTATACTCCGTCAACCACTCCGTCAGACGTTCTAGACGATATTAAAAAATTGGTTCAAACATTTTGTTCTAATTTAAATCTTCGATCTGTGTTTTTTAATGTCGATCTTTGGGTGACAACTGACCCAGAAACAGGGAAAGTCGACATCGAACTTATCGAGATTAACATAAGAGTTTCCCAGACACTTTTCTATCTTTTTGATTTCATAAAACAACCTAACAGTTTCCAGGCAGCGTTATCGGTGGCCCTGGCGCAGGATAATGAAATCAAGCGTCCGATTTTAACAGCTCAAAACGGCACAAGTGGAATTTTTTTAATTAAAACTTGTGTTTCCGGTCCAGCGACAGACATCTTTGATTTTTCCCAGATTCCCCTTCTGAAAAAAGAGCATGGTGGAAAGTTTTCTGTATATTTATATATTGATGAAGGAGATTACGTGAAACAGGATTATAATAAATATGGTAGGACAATTTGTCGCTGTCATCTGGTAGCTGAATCTTGTGAGGAGTTGAAACAACAAACGTATAAAATAACCAATCAGTTGTTAAAACAGATCTCTGATCATCGTCAATTTTAAAATCTTTGCAGTCATCGTCTGGTTATGGTGTATATTTATCCCAAATTATGAATACAGAATAGGCCACTGGCAATGACCTTATGCATAAATGCCCATGGCTTTGGTATTATGACATTTTAATTTTTTGTCGTAGATTCTAGAAAGAAAAATACTATATTATGAGTGATTAAACATAAAATTAAAACATAAACGATATAAGATTAGCCTACATACAATTACCATAAAATGGCCGCCCCTGGATGAAAATGATTCGACGTCACAACAGTCCACAGCTGTCAGTAATCTTAAAGGGATTGTGTCGAATACAATGAGACGATCACTTGGTAAATCGAGTTAGTCCCGTAGTTACGTGTTGTAGCAGTATTACTGGACTAACTTGATTTACCAAATGTTCGCCTCAATGTATTGAAAACCGGTCATATTATCACAAATAAGGATGTTTAGCGCTCTGATTTGTAAAGGTTTTCGTTAAAACTTCCGGATACCCCAAATTTTGTGAACGAAATACATAAAAAAAATTAAATATCTTGTTCTGTTTGAAGGAATTATGCAATTTTCGTTGTTGTAGTTACGAAGACTATTTACATATGATCGAGGTCCAAATCAACCCCCAGATATGCCGCATCTGTCTCTTTAAGTCAGTGGTTCCCAACCATCTTCAGTCTTAAAACCCCCGGAACAATCACCTGTACCTTTCACACCCCCAAAAATTTATTTCATCCACATTTTCAGCATGTGGTGAGTGGGGTGCTCTCTCAATTCAAAATAAATTCTTCTCCTACACCAGTTGGTCCCACCCCTGATAATCTAGTCCCACACCCCAAGGGGGGTGAAAACATCCTAGGTTGGGAACCAGGGCCTTAAGTGATATAATGAGCATCTGCCGTTCAAAATATAACAATGACAACCACAGATCCGATGTTATATAATTTCCACCTAAGAATGACACTAATGGATAATGATAATAATTTATTGTAATTCTTTCTACAAGATGGTCATACATCAAACACACAGCACTGGTCTTTCCTATATAATATGTTATTTGGAAATAATATTATGGAATTAAAATCCGTACTAGCAAGACAATTCCGTCAATCAAATAACTTGTCCTAAAACAGGCAAAATCCAGAGTAAAGGCAGTATAGCAGTGGACTCCTCGAAAGAGAAGTATCAACAGGTGTTACGAAAAGAGTAAGCCGGATCTGTTTCGCGCGCAACACCCATCCCTACTACAATAGTCATAATCATGAGATACAACCAGATCAGTGTCTGACCAAAAGTCATAACCCATACGGCTTCTAAATTTGACGATGATCAGAGATCTGTTTTAACAACTGATTGGTTATTTTATACGTTTGTTGTTTCAACTCCTCACAAGATTCAGCTACCAGATGACAGCGACAAATTGTCCTACCATATTTATTATAATCCTGTTTCACGTAATCTCCTTCATCAATATATAAATATACAGAAAACTTTCCACCATGCTCTTTTTTCAGAAGGGGAATCTGGGAAAAATCAAAGATGTCTGTCGCTGGACCGGAAACACAAGTTTTTATCATAAAACTTCCAAAGGTTTCCTCTTGGGGCTTTAAAATCGGATGCTTGATTTCTTTTTCTTGTCCCAGGGCCACCGATAACGCTGCCTGGAAACTGCTTGGTTGTTTCATGAAATCATACAGATTAGAAAGGGCCTGGGAAATTCTTTTGTTGATCTCGATAAGTTCGATGTCGACTTTCCCTGTTTCTGGGTCAGTTGTCACCCAAAGATCGACATTAAAAAACACAGATTTTAGATTTAAATTAGAACAAAATTTTTGAACCAATTTTTCAACATCGCATAGAACGTCTGACGTAGTGGTTGACGGAGTATAACGCAGAAAATCACAAGGAACTGGTTTAGAAAAACTCAAACCGTCAAAGTGTCCCCATAGATGAAAGGCACCATCTTGGTCTACATACCCTTCAGTCGCAATCATTTTGCTATCTTCAACAAATTCTTCGACTATCACAATGTTTTTCATGCTAAAAGGAAACTTCTTAATATCTAGATGTTTTAGAAACATCGATTTGAACATATCCTGGACTGGATTTGAAGATTTTTTAATTTTAGAAATAGCTTGAATCATCTCCTTCTCGTTTCTTACCACAAATTGTCCGTAACCACCAGCAAAATATGGTGGCTTGACGTAAGCAGGATATTTTATTTTTACTTTCCAATCCTCATTATCAAGATCAGCAGCAAAATACCAGAATTTAAAATCTAACTTGGAGAATATTTTGGTGTAATATTTGTGGTAACAAATAAAACTCGACTCTATCTTACATCCTGGTAGACCAGTTTTTTCTCGGACGATTCCAGCTATCATTTGTCCCAGATCACAATTCCCTATCACCAAATCAATATTCTGATCCTTGACGTATTTTATGGACTTTTCTATATAACCCACTATATCGAAATCTAAGTCCTCTATAGTGTCCACATTCAGAAACCACGCTGGTAACGACTCTCCTTCTTTCATCAGATGATGGAACTCATATTTGGTGTTTCTACAATGTTTTCTGTAAGCTTTGGTTTGTTCTTCTGTCCTCAACAAAAATAAAATCTGTATTCGTTTCATACTTTTTCAGATTCCAATTTTTAATTGATTCTATAAATAGATAAAAACTGATTAATTTGCATAATATCATTACATATTAAATTTAAAAAGGGAAAATGTTTGTACCATTTTGGAATGGGGAATATATTTTGAATTTAATTGCAGGTCAATAATAAATCAAGTATTAACCGTAAAACCGTAAAACGAAACCCGAAATCTAAAACAACATATTGGCGAATCATTGGTAGCAGCTATTCAATTTTTCACATGAGGAAGTATATCAATCATAAGCGAGTAAGTATTTCATAATAAAAAGTGGTATCAGGTGTCTAAAAGAGTAAGCATATCCTGACTGGCACCACACCCGTCACAGCTGCTCAATATACACAACAAAGGAAACAGATTACCAGAAGTGGTGCATTTAAAATAAAACAAAACACGCTTGTTTTATTTACCTAACACTGGTCCAATACTATTGTTCAACTGCACTCTCTTTCTTATTTTCTTAACTGAACTATTACACTAAACTTTATCGTCGTCTTTCATTGATCATTGTCACTGTAAGATATCGATTATTTTTATGTAATACAAAAATCATATTAATTATTCAAAACAAAGTAAAACATGCCTGAATTCGAGATGCTCTAGTGATCTAATGCATATGATAATTTGAGTGATTATGTGAATCAAATTGAAACTAACAACGATTCCAGTTTACCTTCTGTGAGAAATGTGATAAGAACTCAAATTATTTGATCAAAACTCCTTACATTTTGTAAATCTACACCATGTTTGATAGCAAATTATCGTTTTTTAGGTAATGGTACAGGAGGTAGGTTAAGCCTTGTATGGAGAATCCACGTTTAATAAAGTAATTGTCTATACCAGTGAAACATGACATGTTTTTATTGTTTTAGATCAAAACTTGTTACATTCTTATAAAAATGGTCGTTTAGGTTATGCTAAATCAGAAGGTATAATGACCGAGAACTAGACTCAGACCTAACCAAACCTACGCCTAGACATAGACCTAACCTAGATTGGATCTAACATATACCCATAGATATAGACTTAAACGTAGTCTAGACTTAGACCTAACCCTAGACGTAATAAAAACCTAAATGATATCTTAGTCCGTGGTAGATTACCCCCCATCCCCATTCCATAGGTTTTGTACATTTCCTTTAATTAATATTTCTTATTTATGATAACTTACAATTGAAGAGTTTCCTCGCAAAAATATCATACATGTATACTATTTTCACTTAATAAATTATATTTATTTTTTATATGAAATACGCATTTTCCATTTCATTTAATATAGGACAATTCCTCAGTTTCACCAGTGAAAATGTTTATTATGTTTATTTCAAATATTATGTATCATTCTTTTAAACAAACTTCACAAACATTGCTCTATCACTAGAGGTTACGCCTACATACCTGTGCCTGTGCTTAACCGTAAATTCCTAGACCTAATCTAACCTAGACTTAGACCTAATCTAGATTTAGCCTTAGATTTAGACATAGACTTAGGCCTTGACTTAGACCTAACCTAGACCTAACTACTCTATACCTATACATTAACCTAGACCTTTACCTTTAACTTACTTATTGTAGGAAATGGTTTTAATCCCCAATTGAACCCCAACTTTATTTCTTACGAATTTTATTGTCTGACCAAAGAACAAAGAATTTTATCTTTATTTTTTAATTGAGTTGGAATATCGGCCACAAAATAGTACATTTATCTAAGAATGTCTTTGTGTTGATGAAAATATAGTTTTTTTTCTGTAAGTCTACATTGAAGAGAAACACTTTATCCCCTAGAAATTCCAACCCAAAAAGTCCTAGATTTTGGCTGAAAATTGCCCTCTGTACAAATTTTGAAGACATTATGTGTGCTCATGTTTACGTTTTTATCAAGACAGAAGACATTCTGAAACTAACAGTATTTTGAGGCTGGTATGCCATTTCTCATAAAATGAATGGACAAAATTCGCTCTGATAATAGAATATAAAATGTATAATTATGTTTTACCTTCCAAATATGTGCAATTTGCTCCTTATTTGTACCCCAAGTCTCGGCGCCGCCACTTGCCTAATGTCTATAATTCTCTGTTAACCAGTTAGTCGATAAACATCAATAGGATACAGAGTATAAAAGTCTTTTGTTTCCAGTTCTTGAAATAATAAGAGACAGTATCAGTAGAATGTTTTTAATGGCGTAATATAAATAATAATGTAAACATATACAATAATAAGTAATCATACGTGGGGGTGTAATGCAGAGCAACTCTCCTGACTTGCTCAGAGGTACAATTTATACGAAAGGAGTGAACACCTAATAATAAATAAGAATAACTATATTAAGTTTCTATAAAAACCAAGTATGCATAGACACACATATCAAACCAAACTACGGCAGTATTAAGTAGCTGCTTATGTAGTCAGGATTGGTATGTTCTTTCATTCCAAGATATTGTCAACAAGTACAATAATATAAAAATATAAAAATATAAAACTTGCTTACCTTGAAATAATAGAAGAGACAGTTAAGTATCAATAGAATGTTTTTAATGAAGACTATAGGTAGGTAGGTAGGTAGATGAAGACTATAGCGATGTACCGTTTATAAAGGCTTGTGAGGCTTCCCAAAATGCATAGGAAACTCTAAGAACCCATTGGCCAATAACAGGATTAAATCCACTTGGGTAATTAATCTGCCAGCCTTAATCCTTTGATAAGTTTATGGTTCTTGCCTCTTAGAACAAACTTCATTAAAACAATCTACTAATCAAATACCGTCTCTTGGTTAATTATCTTAAGGTAGCTTAGTGTCATTCTAATTACATATATTGTTCATACATTTTACATAAATAATAGTTCATAAAACAATGGCGTAAATGGACTGGTACAATACTCCTCCCTACCGTTTTGCTTTTGTCCTCAAAAGCTTGAATGAAATATAGTGCCAATATGGATTATAAACCATACTATACATGAAATGCAAAATGAATATACATACTTAAACATAATTATATGAAATGAAAAAAATGAATATATATATATACATAAAATGTATAACAATGTTATATCATACATAACATAATTCTAACTTTTGAAGATAGTTATGATTTATTATAGATAACGTTTTCCTCGAAATCTCTTTTTATCGAATTTAAAGGAAATAAAAAAGAATTGTTAGGTGCCATTAAAATATAAACCGTAAACGGCTGTACATTAGTATAGGCAGGAGAATCTGCAATTTTGTCTCAAAATAAGAAATAAGTTGTGTGGACTTAAGTAAATTTAAAGTATCTCTTACACAAAGGTTTTTTGTGTCGTTTGCCCGAAAGAGTTTTCTTTATATGAAATTCTTGAATTAGATTAGGTTCTATATTTCGTGATGATTCCCTTTGACCTTTAATTTTGATTTTATATGTCCTGTCGTTGTTGTGACCTTTTGAGTACATCATCTTTTCAACATCTAAATATTTATTAATAATATCTACTTGTGTTGTCTGTTCATATACGTCATGTCTTCCAGATCTTCAAGTTTATTAGTGGGTGTCGAATCCTTACTAACTTCTTTGTTAGTTATTTGGTTTGTTTGTGTTTGTGAAATAAATAACTTTAAGCGTCATGCATTTACAAAGGAACCATATTCTTTATTATCTGAACATGTTCGTATTTTGTAAGTGTAATTTGGCCCTAATTCTGTAATATAATATGGACCAATAAATTTATCTTGTATTTTTGGCGAAAGTCCTTTAACCTTTCTGACATTAGTTAACATGACTTTATCACCTATTTTGAAATTTGGTGTTGTTGCGGTTTTGTCGTGATACTTCTTATTTCGCTCTTGTGATTTTTTTATGTTGTCATCTGCAATTGATCGTGCTATTTTTAAATTATCTAAAATATGATTTAAGTATGTTTGGTTATTTTTACCTACAGTTTCTTTGGGTATCATTTCTATACCGAACGGTAGCAACATTTCTCGACTAAATAGAAGACGATGCGGAGATAATTCTGTAGTTTGGGAAAAGGTTGATCTGAATGACATCATAATTAAAGGAAGAATGGAAGGCCAGTTGGTTTGTTTCTCATTACAATAAGCTCGTAAGACTTTTTCAATGTCAGCATTGCGCCTTTCACAACTTGTGTTTGTTGCAGGATGATATGAACTGGTAAGTTTAGGCTTAACGCTAAACAGTTCACAAACGGCATTTACAAGTTTAGACATACAGGCAGCTCCTCTATCACTTATTGGAGATCTGGGACAACCGTATCGTGTGAATATTTCATTATAGAGCTTGTTGCTGACTTCAACTGCCTCTTGTGTTTTGGTAGGAAATGCCTCGCTGTATCAATCAACCACAAGGAGAATGTGTTTAAAACCATCCTCACTTGTAGGAAGAGGGCCTAGAAAATCTATGTGTAAATGTGAAAATGGTTGTTCTATTGGCATGGAAGTAAGTGGGACTTTAGAAAGATGACCTGGTTTTATCCTTTGACAAGTATCGTATTTTGTAATATAATCAGATATATGTTGATACATCTTAGGCCGATAGTATATTTGAATTAGGGATTTGCGTGTATCGTCTCGTCCGCCGTGACAGCCACCAGGTAAGGAATCGTGATAGTTATATAAGGTTTTATCACGATATATCCTTAGGAGAGCTAACTGTTTAATTGGCAAATCATCGTTTTTCTGTTTCTTTCGACGAGGCTGGTAGAAGTGATATAAATTCCAATTAACATAGCATATTGGCTAACTGTTGCAACAAGACCTTTTGCCTGTCCAGAAGAAAACGTGGACGCAATTACTCCTGTTTCAAGATACTTGCGTTGTTTGCTTGCTAATTCGGGAATGGGAGATTCTTCTGTAGGTTGATCAGAAATAGGACAAATAAAAGAAGGGTCTGGTTCATTTGCATAGAGGAAAACAACCGACTCAGTTGTAATTTTTGAACCAATTGTCTGTATTGCTGCGATTAGTATTTCTTCGTCTTCAGCAATGTATTCGGGATATGTTCGTCTCGATAATACATCTGCGTTTATATTCTTTTTGCCAGGTTTATGTTCTATCTTAAATTTATAACCGTGCAGTTCTAATGCCCATCTTTGTAAACGACCATTATTTGATTTTGTATCTAGTAATGAGGTTAATGCTTTATGGTCAGCGAGACAGTGAATTCTGCATTTGATAAGTGAACATTGAACATTGAACAAGACATTCTTGTTCAGTTACACACCATTTCTTTTCAAATGAATTTAAAGAACGACCACCGTAACAATGACATGTTCTAATCCATCGTCACTATCTGACCAAGAATGTATCCAATGGCATAACCGGATGCGTCAGTTGTGAGAATAAATGGTTTAGACATGTCAGGATAAACTAAAACTGGTGATGTTGTTAATGCTTGTTTGAGTCTATCGAAAGCGTGTTGGCGTTCATCAGGCCATTTGAATTAAATGTCTTTTGGTAATAATTGATTAAGCGGATTAACTATTTTAGCATAATTATAAATAAATTTGCGATAATAATTACAAAGGCCTAAATGTCGTAAATAGTTTGAATATCTTCGACTTTTGAGCTGTCAACTGCAATTCCATCTGGCGAAAAGATATACCCCAAATACTTGACTTTTTTACATGCAAATTTACATTTTGTCGGTTTTAACGTGATGCCAGCATTAGTAAGCTTTTCGAATACATTACTTAAATGATGTAAGTGTTGTTCGAATGTATCTGAAAAGATGATAATATCATCTATATAAACTAAAACATATTCCCAATTCATGTCTCTTAAAATGTCAGTCATTACCATCTGAAAACTCATAGGGGCGTTTTTCAACCCGAATGGCATACGTTGCCATTCGAAAACTCCATCAGCAGTAATGAACGATGCTTTGTGTTTTGTTTGTTTATCCATACCTCTTTGCCAGAAGCACAATCAAGTACGGAAAATATTTAGCTTTAGCTTTAGCTTTGCCGATGTAATCATTAACGTCTTCAAATCTTATGATTGAAAAAAAAGTGCTTTTAGTTATGTTATTTAATTTTCGTAATCTACGGCAAAACGAAACTCGCCATTAGATTTTTTTACCATAACAACTGGTGAGCGCCAATCTGAATTTGATTTTCTAATTATGTCTGCATCTAACATGTTGTTTATCTGTTTGGAACATTCTTCCCGCATTGCAGGTGATTGTCTGTACAGAAGGAGCATCTCCCGTGTCAATGTTATGTTCGTAAATATTAGTCTTACCCAATCCATTGAGATTATTTGCAAAAACTTGTCTATTTGTACGTAAGAATTGTTGTAATTTTTGTTTCTGTTTTCATTTAGAGCAGAATTTGAAAGATCGAATTCTATCTTTTCGGTTAGAACTTCTGTCGTATCTTTGCTTATATTAATCTTGCTTATATACCATCATTGTTCCTATCGATAGACGTACAGGACGGGTTTCAATTTGATATTGTAGGCTATATAGAGATAGCAGTACAATATGTCAAGGACAATAACATTCAGCAGGTGCTTGCTGCCACTGATTTAGGCGATCTTGTTGCTGGAATTGAGATTTAGCCCTAGATTTAGACATAGACTTACGCATTAACCTAGACCTAATCTACTCTATACCTATACATTAACCTAGACTTAGATCACATCTAGGCTTAGATCACACCTAGACTTAGATCAGACCTATACCTAGACTTAGACCTAGTCTAGATTTATACCTTAACATAGACCTAACATAGACCTAACATAGACCTATACCTTTACCTTTACTTTTACCTTTAGTTTTACCTTACTTAACTCTCTCTTTCCTTCCCTCCCTACAAAAGATCTAATCAGATCAGATCCCAGGCTTGGATCTGTCCACAGTTCTTGTTTATTGTTAAACATGCAAAGTAGTGGTTCTAAACCTTTTTCAGACCTCATACCCCCAGAACAATCATTTAACCCCTTACATCTCCAAAACAATAAGCACTCAAAGCATTGTAAATTGTATCATTTCACATTCAAGCCAATCAGGTTCCCAACCGGACAAGGTTGGCTCTATGGTAATGACGTTACACGTCCATTAATTGTAAAACATGCACCAGATATCCTGACACCATATAAATCTCAAAAGATAAAATTCTTCTACAACAGTTGCCATATCCCAGACACTCCTACTCCCCTAGTCTGGGAACAGGGGTGAAGTAAGCATGTAGACGCAGTCCACAAATAAATGGTTATATAATTTTTATAGTTGCGTCCCTTTAACTGGTAGATAACCGATGGAAAAAACAACAAATTTGTAATGAATAAACATTTTATTACAAACGTTTCAAGATGCCTTCTCAATTGAGTTACGAACTGCCAGATTTACACAGGTCGCAATATTATTATCACTTGAGAAATCCCTGTAAAATGCCGTATGTAAGAAGAAGCGATTTTCAACTGCCATTTTGAGACAGTCACGTGAATCAATCAATCAATTTTTCTTCCTACTTCTACTTTCAGTCTACTGCTATGCGATAGCTGTCAAAATTTCAAGAAATTCACACAATCCAAATCAGATTAGTAAATGATTATTTTGAAATGTTTCTTTATTTGCCGAAAGTATTTTTTGACAAGAATCCCTAACTTTATTTCTTACGAATTTTATTGTCTAACCAGAGTACAAGGTTTTTTTGAATTTTTTCTTTTATCTTTATTTTTCAATTGAGTTGGAATATCGGCCACAAAATAGTACATTTATCTAAGAATGTCTTTGTGTTGATGAAAATATAGTTTTTTTTCTGTAAGTCTACATTGAAGAGAAACACTTTATCCCCTAGAAATTCCAACCCAAAAAGTCCTAGATTCTGGCTGAAAATTCGCTCAGATTTGCTCAAACAATAGAATATAAAATGTCTTATTATGTTTTAGCTCCCAAATATGTGACGTTTGCCCCTTATTTGTACCCCAAGTCTCGGCGCCGCCACTTGCCTAATGTCTATAATTCTCTGTTAACCAGTTAGTCGATAAACATCAATAGGATACAAAGGACTAAAACGTTTTATATGAAATTGTCCATGACATTTAACAACTTGACATAGGACATTGATAGTCGTTCCCTGTCATCGATGAAAAGAAAATCAATACAGGGCCCCACTGTATATGGACTCATGCGTTCAACACTTGAATAAATCCTGAAAACAATGGACCTACAATAAAATGTTCATTGCATGGGAATTTTGAAACCTATGGCACATAATCGTCTAACCTATTGGGAAGAGTTTTATATTCACTGGTACAGATATACATTATATAGGATTGTTGACTATAATAATAGACTACCCCTTTATACTACTTATATAATACACATATTCATTGAAATATATACGATCATTCTAGGTATAGTCAGTGTTATAAATATAATTCTGTATAAACATGTTATAACTTATTGCTACCTAATACATTAAAGGTGTAAATAGACGAGACGAAGTAAATGATGTAAATAGTTTGATTGGACCCGGACCTAGTCTCTTTCGAATTTCTATTGTATGAAGGCGTAGTTGTTTTGAGAGCAGCGGGTGAAAAATACAAACCCAGTGGCGCTAGAGATGGGTATTCTCTAGTGAGATATTGTCTATATACTTATACTGATTATTATATTATATATAGTCAATAGAAATTGATGAAATGACGAAATCTACTGGGGTCCCCAGCGAAGAGTCGAAGCAACTGATAGAGGCTATGAAACCAAAACTTAAAAAGAATCTGGAACCATCTGAAATTCTAAAAACTTTAAAAGGCTTTGATCGTAAGTTTGTGCTTTCCTTCCATTTTTTTTCTTTACTTTCCTCTATGTTGTATAGTTATATGGTATATCCACTGATTAATAGAGCCTCTAATTAGTCAACAATTGGGAATTTAAATTTCATGTTCATTAAAAGAGGTTAATAATCCTTTAAGATTGTTGTATTTACAGGAGAAACGCACGAAAATATAGTTGGTACAGAGATTTTAGGTGATAGAGAAGGAGCAGTCGACCATCTCATAGACGCTGTTCTTAAACAAAATATCGTTGGGGAATTTTTTCAGGTCCTGAGACAGACAGGTAAGTTGACTTTACAGGGTATTTTCTTGGTGTATATTTTGAATATTCTATATGTAGTCTATCTTGTTTACAGCCTGTCTGTCAAGGGCTCCTATTAGTGGGGTAGGGGTACAGAGGGGAAAATGGTTTGCACCCCCAATTTTACCCTCACTTTATTCTTTGCAAATTAAAAAAAATATAAAATATGATCTTTTATGCCCCACAATTTATGTCAGAATGCACCAAATCAATAATAAATATCTTGCAATCACCATGGAAATGATGATTGACTGATAAAGATGAGTGTATCATCATCGAAACTTTGTAAGATATTTATTGAAGTATTTATCTGTATCACTTTGTCTGGTTATTTATATCCAAGTTCAATTTGTATTTTTCAGGATATTTGGATGATGGGGACGAATTGAAAGTACCAGATGAGACCAGTAAGTTTCTGGTATACGTTGACTGTCCTACACGTGTCTTTCCAATCAAAATGAAACAGTCTTAAAACAGAACCAGAATGTTGTTATGTTGTTTCACGTTGTGTTTTTCAGACAACTGACCTATTTCAGCCCGAGTCGGTACTGAAGTTTTGTATTGCTCTAGAATTGGTGTTTTGGGTACTATTTAACAACTAACATTTTGCGTCTTGTATTTGGTAAATATTTCATTAACTGTGTGATTTGATTTGATTTGAAATTTGGTCAATTACAGTTGATGTATATAGTCCTGCTAGTGGACCGACTGATCAAGGACAAGATCTTCCTATTCAAGGTGATACCTCACGATCCGAGGGAGATGAAGATGCGAATGGTTTTTCGGATGAGGAAGAGGAGATGGAAGCATCGGGTAGGTTGATGCATCTAGCTATTGAAAAAGAATTCTCAAAAAATACTAACAAAGTAAAAAAAAAAAGAATGGCTGAATTGTATCCTTGTAAAATCACCAAGAGATTTGACTAAGGATTATTAGCTGGTAGGCACGATTACCCGGATTTGTATACGCCCACATCCGTCTGCCCGTCCATCCGTCCACAAATGCTCGTAAACACCCTAGAAGGTACAATTCTTGACTAATTTTGACGAAACATGGTATGATTGCTTGTTGTTTGTTATCATCAAAGGATGAACCCTATTGAAAATCAGAAAAATAGAAAAATATTTACTATGAGTTATTGCCCATGTTCATGAAATGCTCGTAAACACTCTAGGAGTATAATTTTTGATGGATTTTGATGAAACTTGGTGTGAGTGTTTGATATCACCCAAGGATGAACTCTATCGAAAATCAGAAAAATCGAAAATTATTTAGTATGAGTTATTTTCCTTGTTCTTGAAAACGTGTTCAATTTTTTTTAGCTCGTAAACACTCTAGAAGGCACAATTCATGACAGATTTTGACGAAACTTGGTGTGGGTGTTATAACCCAAGGATGAACACTATTGAAAATCTGAAAATATTTAGTATGAGTTATTGTCCTCGTTTTTGGGAAACGCGTTCAATTTTTAGCTCGTCAACATTCTAGTTGGCACAATTCTTGACAGATTTTGACAAAACTAATATTATTCAGTACCGCCCAAAAAAGTTAAAACGAAGTGTAAGACTGAACCTAAAATCTAAATTCTATCTAACCTGGTAGCTATATTTTGGTATTTGTATGAACTTTCAGAAAATGCAGATGAACTGCCTATGCGGAAATATCAATATGAACTGAGCCAAGCCGCCATTGAAGGAGAAAACACAATCATCTGTGCTCCTACTGGATCAGGAAAAACTCGTGTTGCTCTGTATATTGTCCGAAAGCATCTTAGCGACATGTCTCATGGAGGTAAGTGTCTAACAGTTGAAAACAAATAACTATCTCAATTCTTGTCGCCTAATATTCTCCAATCCTTAGGCATGGAGACCAAAATATTTAGGAAAGCAGATGGGGGTGGGGGTTTTATATATCCACCCAAAAACACCATTTTCGTGTCCTCGTTGAAAACGGGGTTTATTGTCCCCAACCATTCCGAGAGGGAGGTAAACAGTTCGATTTTTATGCCGACATACAACAAAAGATCATATTCGTAATGTTAAAGTGGCATTTTTTAGAAAAATATGTATAACATAGATTTGGAAATAAAACTAATGATATATTTCTTTTTAAATATGACCAAACGAAATTTATGAAAATAAGGAAACTTCCTATATTTACATGAATAGAAAAACATAAAATCGCACACTGGGAGAAAAAAACTTCTGTTTCATAAAGCTTGAATATTATCTACAACAATGAATTACTTCTGTTAGCAGGAAAGAAGAAAATAGTATTTTTAGCAAGAACCACACTTTTAGTGAATCAACAGGCTAAAACGTTCCGGAAACATTTACCTCCGGAATACAGTGATAAGGTAAGTGCAGTCCCGTAGCCAGACTTGATTGTTCGGAGGAGTGTATGATGGTTGCAGTAAAGGAATTCATCATTTTCTTCAGGGAAGGGGGGGGGGGGGGGGGATCCTTTTTTTCGGGGGAGCATTAACCCCCTTGCCCCTTTATAGCTACAGACTTGGGTAAGTGGGTCTGAACCTAGGAGGGATGTGAAATCAACATCAACATTCCATGAACAGTTTACAGGTACAAAACTAAATACCTGTTTACCGATTAGTGTAACTAATTGGTGGAATTTTGTCTGTTTCCAAGTTTTATGTTATGGTTGGAAATCTACAAGAGCTCATTCTATAATAAAATGTTCGTAAAGATTAGATTTGACGAGGTACGGACATTCGTTGTAGAATAACCAACACGAAACACGGACTTGGCACGTTGCGGACACAATTGACTTTTTCTGTTTTCTATTATATTTACAATTCCACACCGGACACCGTACCTCGTTTATTCTTACCCTTTTTATAAAAGCCCTTACAAACTTCCTAACTATACATTGACTGCAATAGCCACCTTTCTTGTATCATGGAAGTTTGTAAATGCGACGATTCGGTTGCATTGTACTCTAGAAAATACAACCAACCAGGGGCCTAGACAGAAAGTCTGTGAACAACCAACCAGGGGCCTAGACAGAAAGTCTGTGAACAACCAACCAGGGGCCTAGACAGAAAGTCTGTGAACAACCAACCAGGGGCCTAGACAGAAAGTCTGTGAACAACCAACCAGGGGCCTAGACAGAAAGTCTGTGAACAACCAACCAGGGGCCTAGACAGAAAGTCCGTGAACAACCAACCAGGGGCCTAGACAGAAAGTCTGTGAACAACCAACCAGGGGCCTAGACAGAAAGTCTGTGAACACAAAGTCATATCAGTTTACAGACTTTCTGTCGAGTACTCTGATTAGCTTTATCCCTGGCGAACAATCCAATCAAATCGCTGCATTCCGTGATACAAGAATAGTGGCTATTGCAGTCAAGGTATTAGTACGAAGATGATTCTTATCCAGAATGGTTTACTTTTGTAGGTCTGTGATGTAACAGGAGAGAGTGGGTTCTCCACGCAGCTGCACACGGCGTTTGATTTCTATAATATTGTTGTTCTGACGCCTCAGATATTAGACAACAATCTTAAAGATGGAAAGATAAAATCGTTGAGCGAGTTTTCTCTACTGATACTGGATGAATGTCATCATACTCGGAAAGGAGAACCTTATAATAATCTGATGAAGAAATATCTGAAAGCCAAAAATGCGAGAGAAGATGGGCTTCCTCAGGTAAGGTGTATGTATAGTACTTGATTTGTATTCAAGTATTTAATAACATACTAGATTTGTGATTCAGATACCCCAGTTACAGTTTGAGGTCATCAGGTTAGGTCAAAAGGTTTTTTGGGATGAATGTTCAAGAGGGCAGACGTTAGATCCTAACTGTAGTTGCTACATTAAATGTACGAGTTAATGAAAAACGGAACAAAAGTTTGGTCAATTGTTAACAAAACTGTCTCAGACCTCAAAGACAAATTAACTTCTTACATATTTTTTACATAATTAAGATTATCGGGCTGACAGCATCCCTTGGTGTAGAAAAAGCAACAACAGTTGGAGAGGCGACGATCAGCATTTTAAAACTCTGTGCCAATCTGGATGTCGAAAAACTCTCAACTGTAACAGTTCATAAAGAGGAGTTAGAAAGAACCGTTCCTAAACCTGATGAAAGTAAGTATTATTTGTTATATTCAGATTGTATGAGCACTGCTTGGAACGGTATGACATATTGAACAACTGGACACATTTTATGGTATAGTACCCGATGATGATAATGTAAATTGTTTAAACATTATGTACAATAAAACTCGGGAGTAGTATACCATATAAACTGGTGATGACAATGTACATTGTAAAAACATTGTGTACAATAAAACTCGAGAGTAGTATACCATATAAACTGATGATGACAATGTAAATTGTTGAAACATTGTCTACAATAAAACTCAAGAGTAGTATACCATATAAACTGATGATGACAATGTAAATTGTTTAAACATTATGTACAATAAAACTCAGGAGTAGTATACTATATAAACTGATGATGACAATGTAAATTGTTGAAACGTTGTGTACAATAAAACTCGGGAGTAGTATACTATATAAACTGATGATGACAATGTAAATTGTTGAAACATTGTCTACAATAAAACTCAAGAGTAGTATACCACATAAACTGATGATGACAATGTAAATTGTTTAAACATTATGTACAATAAAACTCAGGAGTAGTATACTATATAAACTGATGATGACAATGTAAATTGTTGAAACGTTGTGTACAATAAAACTCGGGAGTAGTATACTATATAAACTGATGATGACAATGTAAATTGTAGAAACATTGTGTACAATAAAACTCAGGAGTAGTATACCATATAAACTGATGATGACAATGTAAATTGTTGAAACATTGTCTACAATAAAACTCATGAGTAGTATACCATATAAACTGATGATGACAATGTAAATTGTTTAAACATTATGTACAATAAAACTCAGGAGTAGTATACCATATAAACTGGTGATGACAATGTAAATTGTTTAAACATTATGTACAATAAAACTCAGGAGTAGTATACCATATAAACTGGTGATGACAATGTAAATTGTTTAAACATTATGTACAATAAAACTCAGGAGTAGTATACTATATAAATCTGATGATGACAATGTAAATTGTTTAAACATTCTGTACAATAAAACTCGAGAGTAGTATAC